CGAGCTCATGGCAGCTTCCCATCAATATCTGGTATGTCATGTCAGGAAATGCAAGTTGTTTTTTCTACTGCCGCTCAAGTTGCACAGGCACTTGTATCAGTACGCATTTCTGATACAGCTTAATCTTATCTCTGTAGCACACTCGCTAGAAGGCCGTTGATTTGGATGAAATTGGGTGTCCTACATTCTGCTACTTTTGTGCTATGCTTGTTGCCTCTGTATGCTTCAGGTATAGAAAATCCTATCCACTTTCATGAAGATACAAAGACTAGATGACATTTTTGTTTAAGCCTTGTTTAAGTTGATCTATTTTGCTATTCATATTTTTTTGTTGGCATGTGTAGCAGTTGTAGTTGCACACATAATAGTTCTCAGTTGGATATGACCATCAAGCAGTTACACAACACAACAATACTAAATTGGCTAGATGAATCTAGCTCTCACATTGCTTACTTCAATTTAGCTAGACGCGGGTCATTGTAAGCTCGACCAACTACTATTTGTAAACTAGAAGCATGCATACTCTCGTCCGCATATGTGCAGTACTTTCGGCATCTTGCTCAAGGAGCTATGGTGATTAGGATTAGTGGTGAGTTTGTACAGCGATTAGGGTTGAGTTGGATTTTCGCGGCGGGTTGTTCTAATTTCGCAACTATTGATATGGTTCAGCATCCTATCTTGATCCATCTATTTTTGCCTAGACTACAATTGTCCCGTTAAACATGATACTCTCTCTAGAGCTTCATTACATTATGTACCTCTTTTTTTCTTGTAAATGCATCTGTGTGGTTTCTCTGTTTTCTCGTAAGTTGCCACATGTAAGTAACTAGTTGGCTAGTTTGTTGTAATAGTTGCACAGGAACGCAAACGTAGTTGGATGACTCATATACATATCTCAGTTGGCTAGCCAACTTATGAAGTTGCACACTAAGGGCTAACCAGTTGCACAAGCGATGATATTTAGACTTGGGAAATTTACTTGCGATGTTGATTCAACTTGGGTTTCTATTGCAGCTGAAGTAGAAAATGCAAATTTTGTAGCTTAACAGTTGTAATCTTATCTTACCAGATATTGATGGGAGCAATCAGACTTTTGATGTCTATGCAGTTCATCTATGTTATCGATAATTTTTCATTCAGTCATCTAATCCACCTCCACTTATGCGTGTATAGTCTGCTACCTTACCCAAATAGTACTAGTACTGAAATATTAACAACATTTTCATTCTCACAGATTGTTAACTCAACCCCTTCTAGGTATTTTTCTAGGAAAAACAGTCAAATTCATTTGTACAGATGCATCACTTTTGTGATCCTGCTAGCCAATCTCTGGTATGATGCTTGAATTTTTGATGATTGGAGTGTTGATCTGTACAAGAGTTTTTTAGAATTGTGATCTTCAAGTTTTTTAGAATTGTCCCAAGAGTATGTAACGACTTGGCATCCTCGGACTTTCTAGTTGCAGAATAGTATCTAATTAGTTGGCAACCTCAGTAATTCTAGCTGCACAACAATATACAACTAGTTGACATCCTCAGCTTCTCTAGTTGCACAAGAACTCAGATTAGTCCCATCTTAAAAAAATTGAGGATTGCCGAAGAGTATGTAACGACTTGACATCCTCAGGCTTTCTAGTTGCAGAATAGTATCTAATTAGTTGGCAACCTCAGTAATTCTAGTTGCACAACAATATACAACTAGTTGACATCCTCAGTTTCTCTAGTTGCACAAGAACTCAGATTAGTCCCATCTTAAAAAAATTGAGGATTGCCCGAGAGTATGTAACGACTTGGCATCCTCAGGCTTTCTAGTTGCAGAATAGTATCTAATTAGTTGGCAACCTCAGTAATTCTAGTTGCACAACAATATACAACTAGTTGACATCCTCAGCTTCTCTAGTTGCACAAGAACTCAGATTAGTCCCATCTAAAACAAATTGAGGATTGCCCAACAGTATCTAACGACTTGGCACCCTCAGATTTTCTAGTTGCAGAAGAGTGTCTATTTAGTTGGCACCCTCAGCAATTCTAGTTGGACAACATTATCCAAGTGGTTGACATCCTCAGCCTCTCTAGTTGCACAAGAATTCAGATTAATCCCATCTTAAAAAATTTGAGGGATTGTCCAACAGTATCTAATGATTTGGCACCCTCAGGTTTTCTAGTTGCAGAAGAGTATCTCTTTAGTTGGCACCGTCTGCAATTCTAGTTGGACAACATTATCCAAGTAGTTGACATCCTCAGCCTCTCTAGTTGCACAAGAATATCTCATTAGTTGGCATCATCAGCATTTCTAGTCGCACAAGAATATCTCATTAGTTGGCATCATCAACATTATCCAACAGTATCTCATTTTCTAGTTGTATTTTTAAAAATATCAAATGAAGGGTATCACCAGCCTTTTTTAGTTGGCATGGTTAGTTATATACTTGCACAAGTTTTCACTCAACTGTTCTTTTTTTAATACCCAGAATGTCAACGCAGAAGTTGAGATGAATGGAGAGAATCCAGACTGCCCGTCACAGGCTGGTAGGATAATGGCGTCCCCAGGGAGATTTGTCAAGTTGAATAAAGAACTGACTCCAATGCAAGGAGCAAATTTGTGTGAGAGGCTATTCGGGGGGTCTTCTGAACGTAGCTGAGACGCTGCCTACGGAGCTGACCAAGTACCTAGTGCAGTGCTACAAACTAGAAACTTCAAAAACCACAGCCGTCACAGTTGCACATGTTTGCTAGTATAGTTGGTACATCAAGGCTTCTCTAGTTGCACATAGTATGCAAAAGTTGGCACATGAAGGTTTTCATCTAGTTCCACATGTTTTTGCTGGTTTTATGGTCCATTAATCTTCTGTCTTTTTCACCCCCCAGAATTGCACATACTATGCAAAAGATGGTACAGGAGTTCATACATAACACATAGTAAAGGGGAGCCTGTTGGCTTCAGTGCCTGGGGGATTTTTTTTGCTGGTAACAAGATCTCCACAAGGAGGTTGAGAGAACAGCAGGTAGGGAGGATCAACATGCATAGAGAGGAAGGGGAGGGATATGAGAAGGGGAAACTCACAGGGTTTTTGTTGCAGCTTTTTCCCTTGATTTCCTCAGTTTGGATCTCAGCTTCTTCTCCTTGCCATGACGATCTAGGAGTTTTCCTTAGCAGACAACCGTTTTTCGTGGGTAAAAGAAGATCTTTGGGGAAGGAGGAAAGGACAGGAAAGGAGAGGAGAGAGAGCTTTTGTAGCGCTGGGGTGGAGGCGTGATAGGTTGGCGGAGCTGGCCGCTCCAGGACGCTCGCCTGGTGCGCGCTGGTCATGGGGGACCGGCGGTTTCCTTTTTGGTACGGGGGACCAAAATTTTCTTTTTTTGCCGGCCGCTCGGGACTGTTTCTGTTGTGCGCTCTCGACAAGAAAAAGGCGGCGGAAAAGTGGTGGGGGTGAGCGCTTTCCTTCCTGGGACAGGGGGGACAGGCAGTTTCCTTTTTTGCCTGGCCGCTCGCGAGCGCTAGCGAGCACTCTGCCGCTCGCTAGACGCGTCCTTTTTTTTTCGAAAAAAAAAGATCGAGACGTAGTACGCGTGGTGATTCCTGTCATTGCCGCCGACCGCACGTCGACATTTGCGTCACGTCAACATTTGCGTCTATTTTGTTGAGCCCTGGCTAGTTCGAGTCGTCCACGCAAAGTCGTAGCTCCGGTAAACCCATCTCGCACGCCCCGAGCCGTCCGATCCAAATCCCACGCTCTTTCTCCTTCTCCCCCATTCCCGTCCCGCCGTGGTCCTCCTCCCCCGTGTCCAGCCCACCCACGACCGACCAGTCCACCGCCATCAATCCCCTCCCATCTCCACCTCCCCACCCCACCGCGGCGCTTCTCTCCTCGTCATGCAGACCTAGTGCTTGCTAAGGCTACCGCTACCGCTAGGTTTAAGCTTCTCCCTCCGTCTCCGCCACCATGGCCGTCGACGCCGCCACCGCCCCCTCCGAGCTCGGCAGCAGCATCCGCGGCGAGGGGGAGGTCGCGGCCAAGCCGCTCCCCTCCGCCGCTGCACCGGCGGCGCGGGAGAGCCTCGAGGAGCTGGACCGGAGGTACGCTCCGTACGCGCGGCGGGACGCGTACGGGCCCATGGGCCGCGGCCCCCTGGGGGCGGCGGAGGCGGCGCGGATGGCCGTGGCCGCGGCCGTGCTCCTCCCGCTCCGGGTCGTGGCCGGCGTGCTCGTGCTCGTCGCCTACTACCTCGTGTGCCGCGTGTGCACGCTGTGGGTGGAGGAGGAGCGGGCGGGGGGCGAGGGGGAGGGCTACGCGCGGCTCGAGGGGTGGAGGCGGGCGTGGGTCGTGCGGTGCGGCCGCTTGCTCTCACGTGCCATGCTCTTCGTCTTTGGCTTCTACTGGATCCGCGAGCACGACCGCCGCTTCCCCGATGCCGAGGTAGCAATTGTAAACTAGTATTCTCTACTTCTGTATAAGGGGTAGCCCAATGTGCCCATTTCCTGTTGCCTGCTTGCTTGATACATTTGCAATGGTAGAATTGGATGCTGTGACGGTGACAGCTTGTAGTATGCGAGACCTAGTTGTTCATGGTTGTGGTGCTTGTCTAGTCTGACGTAGTTGGAGATGCACATTTTGGCGGACGTCTCTGCTGCCTATCTGATGAGAATGAGAGCATGTCTTGTTGAGTCCTAGCCGGTAGATTGGTGTTTCCTTGTGGCTAACTTGAACCCCCCGCTTCCTTGGACTGGATCAAAATGTTGTTCTAGCATATGCACTAGCTTAAATTTGGTCAGTGCATATGCCCATCCTGTCAGCCTAGCATGCCTTCATCAGCATACTTCGCGAATACTTGCTTGCTGCTGATACTCATGGCATGATGCATGTGGATCATTCCTTCCGGTGCAAATTTTTTCCACTATTAGAGAACTATTGTTCGTCACGGGGTTAAAATTGGTACATCAAATAGTAGGATGCAACTATATGTGTTGGACCTGTTCGTTATCTGAATTAGTATTCATTCATGGCTTTGTTCAAGGTCCTCTGTCATCTTCCAGTAAGCGAAAATAAGATTGTTCAAGATAAAGTGACACGTTTTCCTGTATCTCACTTTATCTCCACACAGTTCTGTGCCAGCAGCCATTGTGGCGTCGGCCACTCGGGCGAGGGCATAGCAGTTTTTGACGTTGTACAGCTCTTCCTTTTTCAGGCCTTGGTTTTGTTTTGATTTGTTGTGCTTTTCTTTTCTGTGTCACGCCACTTGGCCTTATGTACTCTTGCACCTTCTTGATGTTTCTTCTAATACAAAATGACGCATGTTGGAGAACAAAAAAGTGACACATTAGTCAGTATACTATGAATCGGAACTAATGTTTAGTGTTCGTTTTAAATTACCTACGACATATTAGATTTGTTTCCTATTTAAGATGGATGCAGATTGTGAATGCTTGGGCGTTGTTCCATAATGCACCACCTGTCTATATTCTCTTTTAAAAATATATATAATGTTACATTGTTAGGATGACTGATAATAGATGGCTAAGCATGGAGTATTTGTACGTATAAGGTTAACAGGCTGGTCAACAGTTTACCTAACCTTCTTTAATAACAGAATATTTTATGCCACTGCTTTTGTGTCTTTTGTATATCCAACTGGACAGTTCATTTCTTTTAGGGCAAGGATCTGGGCCAGTCTGAATTATTGGAAAGACCAGGGGCAATTGTATCTAATCATGTATCATATGTGGATATTCTTTATCACATGTCATCTTCTCTTCCAAGTTTTGTTGCTAAGGTACTTCAGTTATGTATGTTCTAATGTTGATATATTCATATGATTTCTTGAAAATCATGTCGTCAGAATATATTGATTTTGACATGCTTGTTTTGCACATGACTATCATTCTTGAAGAGATCAGTGGCCAGATTGCCCCTAGTTGGTCTCATAAGGTAATAACATTCTCTACTGTATCGAGTCTCTTGCTTTACTACTTTTTGGTTAGAGCGACATTGTATTTTAGTGGATAGTATATGGCTAGACAGTTGCTTGTATTTTTTGTTAACTGAATTTACAACATGATTTCTGTTGTGATGCAGCAAATGCATTGGTTGTATTTTTGTTCAGCGAGAGTCTAAAACTTCAGATTTCAAAGGTGTTTCAGGTATATGACGATATCTGACCTTAAGTGATCATACTTAAGTTTTTCATGCTTCAGTTATGGATTTCTTTTCATCGTCGTGGTTCATGCTTAGATTATGGCTTATGCAATTCATACTCGAAGAGTTACTATATTGACACAATGAATCTCCACAAACTGATGGGTGCCTGCACTCTACAAGTATATCTTATTCATAATCATCATCGTGGTGACCTTTCAATATAGCCATGCCATTCTTGAACTGTTAGTTTAATCGACCTCTGTTTATACAGTTACTGTAGGCAGATTCACTTCCATTTATACAAAAATAGCTAGTTTTTTGTGGTCAGGATTGTTGAAACAACATACCCTATATCATTCTATGTTGAATATAGTTACTGTAGGCATACTCACTTTTGTTTGTACTTAAATGACTTAGTTTTTTGTGGTCAGGATTTGTTGAAACATACAGTACACCATTCTATTTTGCTTGTTGTTGCTTTCTAATTTATACCATACAGGTGCTGTAACTGAAAGAATCCAGCGAGCTCATCGACAAAAGAATTCTCCGATGATGTTGCTCTTTCCTGGTTGGTGTATAATAACGCTTATTTCTTTTGCCATTCAATCTGCATATGGACAGTAACTAAGCATTTTCTAGTTTATTGTTCTTCTGTGATGCATATTTGCATTGCTAGTGACCTGGTATATTTTTCTTTTCTTATGGAACACATTTTGTTCTTAGGAGTATATTTTTGTTTGTTCACTATATCTTCTAAGTACATCTATGATGTGACTAGTCTTATTTTAATCTTGTTTTCCTTTTTGCTGGGATTGCAATCCAATCTTGATATAAGATCAAGATGTTGTATCTGTAATGTATTTGACTTGTAGTAGCTTTCCTGCTTGATGAATTTGGATTGTTAACTGCAGTGGCTTTGCATATGTATATGGCTATGTGCTTCTTATATAAAAAGATACTTCAATATTTTATGCTATATCTGTTCAAATTTAGTGCAATCTATTTTACTACTACCTCCGTACAATTTGAACTGTAAAAACGTCTTACATTAGTTTACAGAGGGAGTACTTCTATATTTGTACTCAAAACTAAGACTGTGAAATTATGTATTGTGGTCCAAGAGCACTTGATTAAGTGTTTGTAAATCTGCCTCTGTTTTTATGTAGAGTCTTCGTTTATGCATCTTACTTACACTTGGTTATATTCCTAATTGTAGAGGGCACAACTACAAACGGGGATTATCTCCTTCCATTCAAGACAGGGGCCTTTCTCGCAAGAGCACCAGTACAACCTGTCATTTTAAGATACCCTTACAAGAGATTCAGTCCAGCATGGGACTCCATGGATGGGGTGAGTGTCAATGGCAAGTCTGCACACACATTTGTAGTTGTCAGTTCCAGATGCCTATAATGACCACACGTATGAACAATAAAATGAAATGCTCTTTCTAGAATTGATGATGTCTTCACTAAAATAACATTTCATTGATATCATTTTGTGTTGGTTTCATTAGTGCATATATTCAGGGCGTTACATTGATGAACCTCCTGTCATTAGCTACCATTTTGCCCATGTATCCTTTATACACTTTCTGTTTTCTTAATTGATTTTCTCACCCTAAAGTCTAAAACAGTTTATTTAGAAATTACATAATGGACAGTTGACCTGAGAAAACCAGTACAGCAGGACTTGTGCATAATTCATTCGATAACAATGGATATAGCATGTGTTTTAATGTTTGTAAGGCGCATCCATAATGAGTGTGTTCTGGTACTACCTCCGTCTGGAATTAGTTGACACTCAAACGGATGTATCTAAACGTATTTCAGTGCTAGATACATTCGTTTGAGCGTCAACTAATTCCAGACGCAGGGAGTGCTTTTCTGAAGTTACCCCAACTGATTCACAGTCGTCCAGATAACCACAGTTAATTAAATATACGAAAGAGCACTTCCATATATGAGGATCCAATATCCATTTAACTTTGCTGAAACTTTCAGGCACGCCATGTATTTCTGCTCCTTTGTCAGTTTGTGAATCATCTAGAGGTTGTGCATTTGCCTGTGTACTATCCTTCTGAGCAAGAAAAAGATGATCCGAAGCTCTACGCAGATAATGTACGGAAATTAATGGCAGTGGAGGTACATATATTCATCTTTCTTGTTGATCCATCAGTCTTTGAAATCGTGTGTGTTAGATGCATACACCAAGTTATTAACTCTTCTTGACTTCCATGTTTCAGGGAAACTTGATTCTTTCAGATCTTGGGTTAGCGGAGAAGCGAGTGTACCATGCAGCCCTGAATGGTAATAATAGTCTGCCTCGTGCCTTACACAAGAAAGATGATTGAAATGTATTACCAGTGGGATTAGTATACTGACAGTCTGAGTGTCTTGCTTGTAACAATAAATAAAAGTGGGTGTGTTACATGGCATCCATCCTAATGTTTGAGAGGAGCGTTGTGAATATTACCCCGATGTTTCACTGTAGAAAACAAGCAACTAACTGTTGTGGTACAGCGAATATGTCAGCAATAAATGTACACAACGGGCTTTCATACACCTCTTCCTATGGTCCATATGAGCCTTTTAAACACTGCTTGTTCTGAAAACTGAATCGTCTATCTACTTGGTCGCCCATGCAGGCTTATCATGTCGAAGTTAATTTGGATACCGCTGCTGTTTATTTTCCTACATGTGCCTGAAAGCAGAAATCGAAGTTTTGTCGCTAATCTTTCCCGTTAGGGGTGGACCCTTTGTAGATGACCATTGGCCACCCATTTTTTGCAGCAAGAATCAGGCAGGCATTTAATCCGAAGGAGGTGAAACTTTAGGGATTAAGGCCTCACTTCGAGCGAGTGTAAAATTTGTGTGCTCTATGGTATTTAGCTCAAGTTTTAACTGAACAACAGGCAGCAGACAAAATTTACACCCAATCTAGACAGGGCCCAAGGGGAAACTAGCCAACATATGGGGAGCAGCGATTTGGCTCCCGAGCTCATCTGCTCACTTTATACTCAACATCAAGAATTACAATCAGCATGGTAGAAGTCTGTCAACATCTTCATGACCAAAGCATAATCAAACCGCCGTACAAGCACTAGCATAATTGGCCACAAAGTGTGTAGTAGACAGGGCGTGGAGTTGGAGTTTCTACACCTGAGCTCATATGTCTTGGTGTGAACAGTAAAATAAATAAAATAGATAAGCATTTTAAAAAAAATCTGAATTTTTGTGTGGCATACTTTAAGAAATGTTTGTTGTGCATGCAAAATTTCATCATGAAATGACATTCGTGGAAGGCGTGGTAAAGAAAACAAAATTGATGTTACTTTCAAACACATTTTGGGGCTTCGAATTTGTTTTTTTTTTTGCCACGACTTCGATCAATATGATTTCGTGATGAATTTTACATACACAACAAACATTTCTTAAAGTATGTCACAAAAAAATTTCAGAAGTTTTTGAAATATTTTTCTATTTTATGTATTTTATTGTTCACACCAGGAGCATATGAGCTCCGGTGTAGAAAGGTACTTCCGTTTGACTATGCTTAACATGTGTCATACAAGTTTGACGTGACTTTAGCAAAGTTTTAATTTCCTCCACCAAGGACGTGTGCACCGAAAGATTTTTGTCGATTTACTATCTCCAGGCCACCCCGAGAAACTAAAAAGATGCCTTTTGTAGCTGCACATAACTCCGTTTCCAGGACTTCCCTACAAGAGAACAATTGCCGACACGAGGGGAAACAACCACACCACACCCATGTGACCCCGAAGAACCATACCATCTCTTGCACTTCCATCTGCTGCGAGCGAACAATTCATATTGATCTTACACCAACTTGGAGAAAGAGGCACCCACCGAGGCATATTCATGGTTTTGAAGTCAGTAGCAGCCAATTTAGGACGGTCTTCGTCAAGCAATACATACTTTCCTTTTACATGGAATCTTGTAGGTGGCAGCATTGAATCTAAGCTAAGGACTCCATGTAACTCATAAGAAATCGTCGGGAGTCATCATTCGGTGCGGGCTATTTGTGATGATCCACTTCATTCCGCACATGGCAACATCGTCAGAACCCACAGGGTCATCAACACCATTGCATTCTGAAAGATTTCCGATGGCGCTTAGAAGGACTTCCTTCCCCGTATTTTGGGTACCTTCTAGTGCTGGAAGTTGATACACCTCGGCCATATAATTCCAACCTCGGCCATAGTCCATGGTGCACAATCCCTCTCATCCATGCATGAGTGGGCCTTCGACCTCAAAAGATAATAATTGCTCCTTGACTTCATTGTCGGCTTTGCTAATTTATTTTGCACTTTTTTTGACTTGTTGACCATGACAATTTGCTTGGACTTCCTTTGATCGACTTGAACTTTGTTTTCTGGCTTGGAATTTTGTTGAACACCTTGGATCTTGTTGATTGACAAGGTATGACTAGGTGAGAACCTCAGGTAGAATTAGTTATTTTTTCCCTAACATGAGTGTTTCCTGCCAACCTATTTTCCTTATATGTGTGATGCATTCTTAGAAAGCACAATTGTTAGCTACAGTTCTATATTAGCATGACCAATGTGTTGTAGGCCCAACCTTATTGACTTTGTCGCACTTATGGCTTACTTTTGTGGTAAACCATAGTTTACCTTAACTTAGTTATGGCAATGTTATCATATCCAATATTGCATGTTTGTCTTAAGCACCATCCCACAACTAAGCTACTCATATTGATTTCTTTATGTCAATACAACAGTTATTTTTTAAAATTTCACGCATCAGTGGAGTTAGCTTAGTCTATATATAAGACAAAAACAGAGAAATATGAATCTCATGTCATCTGCCTTGAGAATGTCACTTGTCACACTTGCAACATCAGTATAGGTAATTTTGCATCATGAACGTATGTGCATATATGAAATGTTCAATCCTCAATTTGTGCGATGATGTTGATATGTTAAGATTGTTGGAAATATGCCCTAGAGGCAATAATAAAATGGTTATTATTATATTTCCTTGTTCGTGATAATTGTCTGTTGTTCATGCTACAATTGTATTAACCGGAAACCGTAATACACATGTGAATACATAGACCACAACATGTCCCTAGTGAACCTCTAGTTGACTAGCTCGTTGATCAATAGATGGTTATGGTTTCCTGACCATGGACATTAGATGCCATTGATAACGGGATCACATCATTAGGAGAATGATGTGATGGACAAGACCCAATCCTAAGCATAGCACAAGATCGTGTAGTTCGTTTGCTAAGAGCTTTTCTAATGTCAAGTATCATTTCCTTAGTGAAAGAACATGTGGTGCCCCCATGTTTGGTTTTGGTAACTGATGACAATCTCTACGGACTAATGGTTGCATTGAGTTATATTTGAAGGATTTGTCCATAGGAATTTCTTGAAGTCCATGTGTTGGTTTCAAGGAGTTTATGTGTTGACCAAGGTGCTATTAAGGAATTATCCAAAGAGTGGTCATGTCTTCAAGGGGTTTATGTCTTGAAGAAGAAGATTGTGTGATCATTCATGTTTACCTTCAAGACATCATCCAAATGAAGAGAGTTGGAAAGAGTCAAGGTTGATCAAGACTAAGTACAGAGAGTGATTCAAGTTGATCATCACACAAAGCGTAGAAGATGTACCGAGAGGAATCAAGTTATCCCATGGTATGGTAAGCATTGTCCATTATGCTTTGTGTACTAACCCATGGTCTATGTGAGAGTTCTATGTGGGGTTAGGTATATGCCCATGAGATTGCATAAAGAGGAAGATATCATACAACCCTTGGAGAGGATGACATCAAGTGGTGATCGTCATCAAGATTGTCGTGTGCAATTTCAAGTGGAGCATCACGAAGAGATCAAGTGCTTGAAGCTTGATGTTGTGGTGACAATGGACTTGTGAAGATGTGCGGAAGAGTAGCTCATACATAGTGGTTTATGGGGGAGCAATCAACTCATCTTCATCGACCCAACGCAATCAAGAAAGGTGGTCCATCTTGAGGAGGACAAGATCGTCATCATCTAGCTCAAGTGGATCTTGTGCAAGGCAAAGGTTTGCCCTTGATAGGTTTTCTATTTTACCGGTCTCATGGTGGTTGTTGGGGGACCGGGTTATAGGATCGATTGCCGTACTATCAAGGGGGGCTCTCGATGAGTAGCTTGATCGTATTGTTCGTAGAGAGCTCAAACCATTGCATCCTTGCATCTTCTTTCTTGGTTCTTGTTTGGTTCTTCTCCTTGTGAGTGTTAGAGCTTATGGTCATCTTCTTGACAAGCTCGAGTTCATCGAAAACGGAGTTCATGCATGCATCTTCTATGATGTTTTCGATGTTGGAGGTTTTGATGGTTCTTCTCGGTTGATGGTTCTTCTCGGTTGGAGGTTTCTCTCCTCTATTGTTGAATGCTACTCGTCGTCATCTATCCAACAAGCTCGAGTTTGCTCAATTCAGAGCTCATATGCAGAAGTTGTGTCAGTTTAGGCATTATTGCATCCTCTGTTTTCTCTGTTGTGTTCTTGTAAGCCTCAAGCGGTAGTACTGCCCTCTCGAGCGGTAGTACCGCTTCTAGGTGGCAGTACCGCGGCCTTGTGCCGCATGTAGTACCGCTGCTTCCGAGGATGCGTTTTTCTCGAGTCAGGTTTCCGTAAAGGACCACGCAGGGGAGCGGTAGTAGGGACGGCAGTAGGGCGTGGTAGTACCGCTTATTAGTGGTAGTACCGCTCCTACATCCGCTCCAACTGCCGCTCAACTTGCTGCCCTCCTCTGTTTTCTAGCGGCTGTAGGGAGCGCAGTACCGCTTATCGGCGGTAGTACCGCCCTAGTGCGTGTACTTCTTCTCCCTCAGCCCTGGTTGCCCTATGCCTGCTTGTCACAGCGGTAATACCGCTGTGGCAGCGGTACCGCTGTGGCAGCGGTAATACCGCTCCGGCAACGGTAGTACCGCCCAGATGCGGGCTGCGGGCTGCATAACGGTTGGATTCGGGAGCCCCTATAAAAGGGGGTCTTCTTCCCCATTCAACCTTATCCTTTCGAGCTCGTGTTCTTCCCCCATTGTTGACCGTCTTCGAGCTTGCTAACTCTCAATCCCTCCATGGATTCTTGCTAGTTCTTGAGGGAAAAGAGAGAGGAGATCTAGATCCACATTTCCACCAATCACTTTCTCCTCTATGTGAGGGGAACCCCTTGGATCTAGATCTTGGAGTTCGTTCTCCTTCTTGTTCTTCCTCTCATTTTCCTCCATAGCTTTTGTTGCTTTGGTGGGATTTGAGAGTGAGGGACTTGGGCACTTCGTGTGCCCTTGCCATTGCATTTGGTGCATCAGTTTGAGTTCTCCACG